CAAGAGCTTTATGTTTAATCATTATAAGCTTCGCAAATTAACATATTAATTAAAATTATAATAGAAAGTTTAATTGTTACATATTACGAGTTCATTTCTTTTGTTTAATGTGGAGTGGTGGGGTCTAAAAAATTATGATGAATTTTTCTTTCAAACATAAAATACATCGTTTGCTGGAGCTATTATACGGGCTACTGCGAGCAAGAATTTTCCATTGTATTTTATATTCAATATCTTTTTCTTTGAGTGACCAGACGTGTTTACTTAGTTCTGTCGCATTTCTAGAGGCCTGATTGAGAAATGAGGCCGTGTGGTTTCTATACCTTGTTTTGAACTCATTACCAGTAAGTCCGACGTACGTTTCACTGGTGTGTTTGTCTAAACGCGTAACTTCCGCTTGGTATACGACGCCGGACTGCAAACACTTCCCGTCTAGTGGACATGTTTTTTTTTCTGGCAATTACACAACTTGTTGGCTTTCCTTTCGTCAGTGGTAGTGTTATTTTCGGTCGCGAGTTGGTGTTTGTTTTTCTTGTTGATGGTATCTTTGATGTTGTTCATACAGCTATAGCTGACTTTGATTGTATTTCTGTTAAATATTTTCTTGAGGTTGTTGCCGGTAGGAAAGCACTTGTCGATTAGATCCAGGAATCGCTTTCCTATACTGTTACGGACGCTGTAGCTATACGGTGGGTTGAACCAAAGGACGTTGCTACGCGGCCGTTTTTTTACCCTTCTCTGTGTGTGGGGGGGGGGGGGCTCAAACTTTAGTTGGTGTTTGTAGCCGCTTTCGCGTAGAGCTCTTTGTTTTGGAATAATCGACTATTGTATCTACACTATATATATATATATGCGCCTCATTAGCTGCAACCAGCATGTCGTCTGTGAAGGTGCAACTCTTGTACTGTCGCCCTCTGTTGTCGTAAGGGGTACCGTGGGAGTGCCCCCGACAAACCATCATGAACACATTGCGCGCCTGATTTAAACTCGGGTATCTCTATGATCGGTCTGTATCTTGACGTTGTCTTCTCTCGGATAAATAAGTATTAGCAATGAGACATCATGAAGTTCGACCTCTTTCGAGCTTTTTTTCTTTTAAAATTGTGATTGGAATTTATGAATCATTGGCTCATGGGAGCGATCATGGGAGTATTGCTAAAGTTGCTAACGGCACTGGGGTTATCCGCAACGAAATTACTAAATTGTTCCCTCCCAAAAAAAACGTCACTTCATTTAAATCCAACATCCACATAATAATCTCATCTGAAAAGTGTGTCAACTGTTCAAGCTCGAATGCGTCCTTTTTTTAGCATAGTGCGCCACCAGCGGTGGAATGGAGCCAAGGACCAGACTTTGGCTGCAGACGGGAAATGGGGTCAGAGCATTTAAGTGGTTTAAGCAAACAATAATTTTCGAACTTCTACTAGAAATCTTATTGCTATTTACTTTCATGCGAGATCATAAAAGTTCGAATGTTGGCGAGCGTGATTGTGTAAACGGATGATGAATATGTAAATGTTGTTACCCGTGGCGATATTTTGATTAGAATCAGTGACAGCGCCGTAGCATGAGTGATGTTCAATTCCATGCAGTTCAACAGCCCGAGTAACTTGGTTCATATGGGTATTGTTCATAAGCACGCCGAAGTTACAGTGTTGGTAGCTGCGTTCTGTGAGCACGAGTAATGGAGACGGGCAAAGCGTTGCTGAGATTACCTTATTTGCGTACACACACAAAATCGTGCTATAAAGCTTCGAAAATGTCCTGACTGAAATACGAACAAAACGTGCAAGCCTGTGACCGAGATATATGAGACAGTTTCCGTCAGGATCGCACAAATGATTGCCGGGAATTTCAACATTGGAGATATACATACATAAATACGGCACCGTTTCCCCCCGTTTTTATAATTAAGTATACGATATAATTTCTACTAATCTGGTTAGGGCGCCTTGATATGCATGCAACAACTTAGGTTTCATAAAAACCAATATGCTAAATTTAGATCTGTGTATGGCGGCAGAGAGTCGAGATCTAGTCTAGTAGCTGGTTAGACATAGTCGAAGCACGATGCGGTTGGCAGTTTTTGTCGGATTCACGTTTGCGTGTGTGTTCAACAGCATGTGCGAGATAGAGGAGGCGGTCGTGGCCACAAATTATGGCGAACTGCGGGGCAGACGATTGGAGATCCTTGGTGCCAAGGTAGACGCATTTCTCGGAATACCATACGCCGACCCACCAGTCGGAAATACGAGGTTCAGCCCCGCTAATCCGTGGAGTACGGAGTGGAGCGGTGTCCGCAACGCTTCTTCCTTTGGTGCTGCTTGCTGGCAGAAAAAATACCCGCCGCCAATTGATCATCCGGGTCATATTTGGTGGACAACTACAGATGAATGCAGCGAAGATTGTCTCTTTCTAAACGTTTGGACCCCATATCCCGCACCCAGCGATGCCCCGGTCGTCGTTTTTATTCATGGGGGTAGTCTGATCGCAGGGACGACGTCAGCATCGCTGTACAATGGCGCTACTTTAGCTGCAGTGGAAAATGTTGTCGTAGTAAGTATGAATTACCGCCTCGGACTACTTGGTTTTTTATCTTTCTTCACTGAGAATGAACCAGGTAACCTCGGTTTGCTGGACCAAGCCATGGCGCTTCTGTGGGTGAAAGATAATATTGAACATTTTGGCGGGAACGCGGACTCGGTGACGTTAATCGGTCACAGTGCCGGAGCGGCAAGTGTTGGTTTACACCTGATGTCTCCAGCTAGCCGGCCGTTTTTCAGAAGGGCGATATTACAGAGTGGCGCGCCAAATACTGGATGGACTATGACATCACGAGCCCAAGACTTGTGGGTGGCGGGAAAACTGGCGAAAAATGTACACTGCCCAACTTGGTTAGATAGTTCCAACCTATCGTACGAGTCCGTAGTAATAGACACGTTAAGATGTTTGCGTGAGCGAGGTCCCCAGAACCTGGTTAATTCGGACCCGTTAGATGCGAGTAAAACCGTCGGAGGTTACGTCGTCGTAGACGGTTTTTTCTTGCCGGACAATCCGCAGTTGATCCTAGCTGACAGTGATATGAAGCAAACATCGATCATAATAGGCACGGTGGATGAAGAATCTTTGTTAAATATGGGGCATTTGCCCAAATTCCGATTTGATATCCCGAAAGTCGAAGCAGTACGTAATACCTACTCAGCGGACGATTATAAACAATCGATCGATTTATTATTCCCATACGTGGATCAGTCGGTACGAGATGTCATTTGGTTTGAATATCGTGACTGGTTTGACCCTAACAATGGGACCAAACTTCACCGCTCAGTCATTGACATGTGGGAGGACTTTTGCATGGTTTGCCCCATTAAAGAATTCGCAAATTTTTATGCAGAGGCTGGTAACAATGTATATGCCTACAATTACGACCATCGTTCATCCAAAAGTCCCTGGAAAGAATGGCTTGGAACCGTGCATGCCGACGAATTATTGTTCACCCTCGGACTTGCCATGCATGACGACGAAGGATTGGAAGACATGGAAAAACAATTAAGCCGTAAGATTCTCAAATACTGGGGGAATTATGCTAGAACCGGGTGAGTGAGATTTCAACCCTTAACGTTTTTCCATTGAAACACATATTTTGTGTTTTCTTCTCATGGCCTTTTTGCCAATTGATCATATTCACCACGAGTCAAGCTCATAATTATTTAACGTACACAACACGTGTAAAATGTAGTATTTGTTTACTAGGAATTTGAACACGCGTTGTACCATGACCACCTTCCTATATAAGTAATTAAAACATTCCAGCGTGAAGAAATATGTTAGCGCAAAGCGTCCATGTGACGCAAGGTAGTTGATATAATATTTAGGGTCAAATCATTTACGTTTGTATGGATATCACTCTCGCCACATGTTGCTAAATGTAATGTAGGATAAATCAAATTTGCACCAAATTTGCACTGGTAATTTCAAATAAGGAAGCAGCTTACTCAGAATGTGCAAAGATATCATTATTTATTCTGTGCTCTTTTGAAGATATTGAAGTAAACGCACTTGGGGTCACTATTCTATTTTTCCAAATAATGTTCATTATATATATAGCTAAGCCAATCATGATGTGGCTTGCTGGAGCCTCTGAACATGTATTTTTCATGAAAACAGCGCTGCAACTTTTAACTTTTTTTAAACTTTCTACAATAAACTAGCAAGCCAAGTATGTAACACAGTCTCTGTAAGCAATTGTAAGCACAACTGAACCCAATCAGTTATATTTTAATCAAAACGTGACATGTTGTATAATTTTGACCCAGTTCCGGAATAGTGGAAATGCCTGATTTGGTATGATGTATGAAACACATAAAAGAAATGATCAGTGAATGACATGGTTGAGATATGGCTCCTGATCAGCCACTAGTTAAAACGAAACAGCCACAGTCACAGATTTGTTAGTGCTTTGTTATTGCCGTCATTCGGCCATCTCGAATCAGATCATAAAATAAATGCATGTTCTTAAGCATTCAAGAGATATGGTGCATGTGTTTGTTTGAACGTAGTTAGTCGGAGGTAAATGTACGAACATACGCACAATAGTGAAAATATGCAACAATACTCTTTTTCCGGACTTAGTCCGTACGCAAACTAAAAAGTAAATATTTCGATCGTTTTTATAATTGCATTTCGAGTATAATTATGAACACTAAAAAATGCGTGAATAATTATAATATTATTAATTAAGATAAAATATTTTGATTTGACAACGTTGTAATTACATTTTTAATCAGTTGTAATTCAAGTTGTAATTTTGATTATCTAAAAATATTGTATTTACAATTTTTCATTATTGCCAACAACAACATTGTTTTGGAATTGTTACTTTAGGAATTTATGCAAAACCATTATTTCATAAAACATAAAATGGTATTCGTCAGAATTTCCCAATAATTCGGGATAACTATAAGTATTCATCTTATAATTACATATAATTTTTTCACCCCATGTACTCAAATGATATTTTGAATTATGACGAAAGATTTTTAGAATTCGAACCAATGTTAAATGGTCAAAAAAAATCGCATGTGTGTGAATAGTTGTCCATAGTCACGAAAATCTGGCAAAAAACCTATGATGACTGCATGGTTCCATGATATGTCAGTCCTTCATTGACAGATGAATGCCATCAGATACATATATCATTATATAATGGAAATAGGGACATTATAAGGAACTTTATGATTGTGTTAACATTCTAATCTCATTTTACACTTGACGTTATAAGTATATATATTTCATTTCAGGCAAATCCCCACGTCGTCAACTTTGGTTAAATTCTAACGTTATTATAAACGTTTTGTGGTGTGGACTTTTCTGCGCAATGAATAATTCGATTAAAAACCACACTTCTGGGCGTCGTGGTACTTTTTTGCATATACAGTATCTTATCGATTCCCCAAACCGCAATAGAGTCCAAGCATTTATGAAATACATTAAAGGCTCATGTAGCCAATAAGGTACAATCGTGTAAGTCATTTCGGTTTGACCCCATAGGCGACGGTGATAAAGTTTATCCGATATCACTAATTAAAACACCCATTGGTACAAATAGTTGCCGGATACCAACGTTTATTGAGGTCAATGACCTGTCAAATTTCGCACGTCAGCTTGTTAGATTTTAAACGCAAATGGCCTGTAATATTTTGCTTAAGAGCGAAAGCGCCACGCGACGTGTTTTTTCTCCATTCGTTCTGTATCCATCATATCCATTGTTCCAAACAACTTGGATACATCATTGAGTCTATATGGTTACATAGATCAGCAGTGCAAATTAATGACGAAAACACTTTTACCGGAACTTGTTTCTATGAAATCAATGTCTGTGCGATTTCCTTATAGCGTTAAATGATAATTTTAAGAAGATTGTCATCTTTTATTTCTCCAAAACTGAATCCCCAAATCTATTTTCCCGTCGTTGGTGGTTTCGTGTGTGTTCATCACATATTAGTCTGAATATTAGTAACTTGTTCTTGCTAAACTGAATTATTTATTAGATTGATGTGAAACGACCAAGACCTAGAGGCAGTTGTATATTAAATAGTTGATTTTCATATAAGCCTTACGTAATTAAATACGTCATATCATTGGGAAAGCATACTTTATATTGAATAATTAATTACTAAACACTACGATTACCTACTACCATTGTATTTAATTTAAAGATACATTATCGGCATTTATCATTTTTGGCTGGATGTCAAACATTGAAGTATTATCTGGTTTATTACTAGTATGTATGTATGTTAACTAAAAAAATCTTTCATTGAACTACGCAGTATTTGGCCATGCAATATTGCAATTGTCCATTCATTTTGAATTGCTAATGCATAGCTCGAAATGTGTGAACATCTGCGTAGTTCATTATGTCCACAAATTTTGTATTGTGTGAATGAAAATTATCGAATAAATTTAATATTTGAATTTAAAGTCATTTATATGACATCATCAGAAAGCTAATTTCATGGAATCGTCATAATAATCTTTCTACTAGTAATTATCAGTTTGGGTTTAAGCCAGATCATGGTACTGACATGTCTATTTTCGTTTTAAAAGAAGTGTTATTATATTACAAGAGATTGAATACACCTAGTTTTGTTACGTTTATGGATGCCTCAAAAGCATTCGATTGTGTCCGTCATGATATTCTTTTTTTAAAAGTTATTACTTAGGGGTGTTAAGACTTATTTAATGAAAGTTTTGATACAAGGACAAGCACCAAACATTCGTTGTTAAATTGAATAATTGTTTTTCTGACGTTTTTCATCAACGGTGTAAACAGGATAGTATCTCTTCGCCTATATTTGTTACAGTTTATCTTGATAACAGCAGTAATGAACTATCCTCCCTTCCATTTGGCTTTTTAATAGGAAGTCTCCCGTTAAATCACCATATGTGTGATGCATCAAGCTGCATTGTAATTTATGCTACGCGAATAACAATTAATTATAGACGCAATCCTGTCGTGTATCAATTTAACTTCAGTCAGTTGCACCTGCATATTGCCATGGTAACCATGTATTGACTGATCGTTGGCAATACTCTGTTGGGTGTCGGAGTCACAGATGTTAGCATGTTTGTCACAGTAGGACATACATCGTTTAGTGTCATATCAAATCAGACGTACTTTACGAATCTAACTCCGACCTGCTAGGACATTCATCACAGACCTGTCATTCACCCGCTATTCAAGCAACGTTGACAACGTAAATCATAGCGAACACAGATGCGGAGACAACAATGTTTCAAATGCCAGTATATATTAATGTATCGTATCGAAGAAGTCGCTAGCGCTAATTAGTGTAAAAGGTGACCAGGCTAAACAGATTATGTCCATATGTCCAAAGGTGAATTATTTGCCTTAAATTTGGTAAAGATCTCATGCTAACTTTCACGAAAATATATTTTACATTTTGAGAAATAAAGTAAATACATAACTTGAAAGTCGTGACAATCATCGTGAAAAAATGCATACTTATATATACATACCAGTTAAAGCGGGGGCGTCACCTGCGACAACTCGACTCCCCCGCTTTAAATGCTACAGTTGAGTAGACGCATACATGCATGGCATAATTTGTGGCATAGGATCGCTAAAACCCAAAGAACCTAACAACCACCATAGACGATCTCGTTCAACTCTCTCAAATATCATTACCCAACCATTAAAGCTCGCGCACAAATCGCATACTTACAGTATGCAAGGTATTCTTTGATTGGTTGACTCATCTGGTTAAAATTAAAGCTCGCGCACGCCCACAAATCGCATACTTACAGTATACAAGGCATTCTTTGATTGGTTGACTCATCTGGTTAAAATTTAAATACGAAAATAAATTTAAGAAATAGGACTAAAACACTAAAAGAAATTTCAAAAAAAATTATCAGTAAAAAGAATAAAAACGAATAAATGAAAAAAAAACCCCAATGGATTCGTAGTTTAATGAGATTGATCAGGCGCAATGACTCGAATTAATGTTCGTGGTGTTCTGGATGACTTCGTAGGACAATGTCTCCATGAGTAGTATACTGTAGCAATATATTGTTTAGTTGTTAGTTAATTATATGTAAATGTAAAATTGATACCTAGTATGGTGTTTCTGTTTATACTAATATTTCAATTCTTTTATCAAACGCCACAGCTGTCAGTAATGTACGTGCGAATACGTTACAGCAACATATATGTATATTAGATATGCAGATGCGGATATCTGTTTTATTATACATATGACACTGAAAACAGTAGAATTTACTCGTTCATAAAACACTGTACAGGCGTATTCGAATGTATTACTTATTCGGAAATTGTGATTTACGTTTATGTCTTAGTCGAACAATTTCCTTTGTTTGCTTCCGTCACCCGATGAGGTTTTCGAAACAACGACCTTTAACATGCAGGAATGATATGGTAACCGCTCTACCTACCAACCAATCGACAACTATGATTAGGTGGCTGTCCTTGACATGTTCTGGGTGCATTCAATAAAATAGATTTCTTCTACAAATAGAAAAGTGTATATTTGAAAGACTGTATGAGTAGCTCAATG